CAAGGTGGGTGGATTGCTTGAGCTCACAAGTTCAAGACCAGCCTGAGCAACAGTGAGACCCTGTCTCTTAAAAAAAACAAAAAAAAGGGTTGGGGTGGTGCTGTGGCTCTAAAGGGTAGGGCGCCGACCCCATATGCCGCAGGTGGCAGGTTTAAACCCAGCCTGTCAAAAAAAAAAAACTAGCTGGGCACTGTGTGAAAGGCGCCTATAGGCTGGGAGCCTGTGGCTGGGTTGGCTGGGGCGCCAGCCATATACACCTAGGGTGGCGGGTTCAAGTCCAGCCTGGGCCTGCCGGACAACAATGATGGCTGCAACCAAAAAAAATGGCCGGGCATTGTGACGGGCACCTGTGGTCCCAGCTGCTTGGGAGGTGGAGGCAGGAGACTCGCTTGAGGAGCCCAGGAGTTGGAGATTGCTGTGAGTGATGCCATGGCACTCTACCCAGGGGGGCAGCTTGAGACTGCATCTCAAGGAAAAAAAAAAAAAAGAAAGGCGCCTATAGTCCTAGCTTCTTGGGAGGCTGAGGCAAGAGGATTGCTTGAACCCAAGAATTTCAGATTGCTGTAATCAGTGATACCACAGAACTCTATTAAGGGTAACAAAGTAAGACTCTGTCTGAAAAAAAAAGTATGTTAATATATATTGATTGAGTTTATTAGCTTTTTTTCTTCAGCAAACCAAACAAATTATGGTAACTCGTTTAGTTAGAAATATATTCTAGCATATTTTGGAATATCATTTATTTAGAAATTAAAAAGAACTGTTTTCCTTAATACCTTTCATTTTGGCATGCTGTGATTTAGGAAGTGCCTGGTATGTAATAGTAGAATATTAAAGTCTTCACGAGATTCAACCTAGTTTGCCAGAATTTTTGTCAGCCCTGTGTTCTCAGGATAAAAAAAACTTACATAGTAACTTATACAGTAGCTTATGCCTATAATTATACCTCCTTGGGAGGCTGAGGTAGGAGGGTTTCTTGAGGCTGGGAGTTCAGGATCAGGACTAGCCTAGATAACAGCAAAACCCCATCTCTCAAACAAAAAAAACAAATGGAGAAATTAGCCAGGCATGATGGGGAGTGACTATAGTTATAGTGACTTAGAAGGCTTAGAAGGCTGAGGCAGGAGGATTGCTGGAGTCTGGGAGTTTGAGGTTGCTGTGAGCTAGGCTGACATCACAGTGTTCCAGCCTGGGACAACAGTGGGGAGGAGGGGGAAGCCCACACCATATTCTTCAAGGATTCAAAGTAGTTGACATTTTGCCACATGTGTTAAGGTATTTTGGAGGGTATAACATTATCTAGTATAAAGGCCGAGTCATTATAAATCTCTGTAATTAACCAAAATGAGTAGGAGATAAATAAGAATTAGAGGTTAAACTCAAATTTGGATACACAGTTTTGGCTAAAAGGGGAATATTTCATGTTTCAAACTATTTAAAACTTTTAAATATATTTTGTACTATCTTCATGATTATGCTGGCCATAATAGTAGGAATATGTTGAGAAAATTCAACAAATACGTAAAGTAATTGATACTTTTTTGCCTACATGTTACATTAATTTCTTTTTCTTTTTCTTTTTTTTTTTTTGAGACAGGAGCCTCAAGCTGTCCCCCTGGGTAGAGTGCTGTGGCATCACAGCTCACAGCAACCTCCAACTCCTAGGCTCAAGCGAGTCTCCTGCCTCAGCCTCCCG